ACGTCCCTGCGGGCGCCGAAGATGCGCAGATCGCGCAGAGGGAGGACTAACAGCAGCATTGCCAAAATCTGCCCAAAATTCCACGTAGCATCGCCTGGTATCCGCAGGGGTGCGTTGTGGCGGAGCGTCCGCTCGATGTCGTACACAAATATGAGGTTAATAATAAGGAGGAGAACAAGGCAGACGAAGGCGGGGAAGACCACTGGGTTGTACCAAGCTCGTAGTAGCAAGAGGTTGCAACCGATGCGGCCTTTCGAGTGGAATGCCGGGCTCGCACGCAGGTCCTGCTTCGATGCTGGGTGGAATCTGTCCGTTTTCCGAGGGCCATGGCATGCCCGGAACAGGAGGAGGATGAAGAGGAACACGAGGGTGGGAAGAATGAGGTTCAACCCCGGTAAGAGCAACAGCGCGTAGATCACCAGCGAGACGATCCGCAATGCCGGCGATTTTAGCGGGATGAACTTGCCCAGCACTGCATAGCTTGAAAGCCGCAGAGCGCATCCATTTGCGACGAACGTGTTTCCAAACACATGCGGGTTTTGCCAAACCCAGATCCCGACGGCGGACATCATCGAGAGGTGGAGAGAACCTAGCAAGGCAACGGCAGGCAAGCCGCTCAGTTCTACTCTGAATATAGCTCCCAGTATGGAGCGCTGGAGACCCTCGCTGCTTTTGGAGCTGAGGTTTTTGTCCTGAATGTCAACGTCAGGTTGAATGACTCTGCAGGCAGTCCGATTGACATACCTCGTGAATTGCCTTCTCACGACCTGGAGCACCGCTGTGAAACCAGGCGGTACAGTAATGCGCCTGAAGCATGTAGTCACATCCGAGCGGATCCGGAAGGGCCCGAGCTGGCTCCGTTTTTGAATATATAGCAGAAGATAGATGAACATGTTAGTATTGTTCATCCAGCTCAAACCGAGAATTATGTTGGCGTGGAACATCGTCAGTCGAGAGATCCGAGCCTGCACGATAGTCGCGATGAGGAGAGCAAAGGCAGTGATGAGGATCGTCATCGATTCGGTCTCAATCGCCTCGAGTTCGTAAGAAGCCACTTCTCCGTCCCAGAGAGCGGATATTGCAGGAATGAAGCCGAGGAGATTCTGAATATAAGTCGCTGTGCGGACACCGATCCCCGGAATGTCGGCGTCAGAGGGAATACAAGACGCAGTAGGCAAGGGCGAGAGCGAGGGGGAAGTTGGACTCATGGTGGGCGAAGGTAGGCTTGTGGTGGGGTAGAGTCAAAACGATGATTATGGCTGTTATTTTGGGGGCTTCACCTTGACGGACCAGTCCAGTGAAAGTGGCTCCCGTGGGAAACATTCAACGAGTGTGGAGTAAAACGTTAGACGACAGCCGCAGGCTCCAAACCCGAGAGAAACGGACGATTGAACACAACCGCCAAATGCTATGCTTTCCGCGACCTTTTTCGGGATTACGACATCCGTAAGTTCAGTGTTCGCTACTGGACCATGCAATGATGTGCACAACTGACGCCGGAAGTGGATATAGCGGATTGCCCTGGACCTACTCCGGTCCACTTTCCTTCTTCCGCGATGATTGTGAACCTTTGGGACCGGAATCGAGCGGAATCCGCCCCCGGTGAGTGAGTCAGCGGACGGACAATTCAACGCAAGCCCCCTGGTAAGCTTGTTGCCATGCAACTCTTCAAATTGACAGAGGAATGTACGAAGGGATAAACGGCGCAACAGAAGAGGTGTTTGCGTTTACGACATACGCAACATACGCCCAGTGCGAAACGTTCCCTAATGGCCGGAGAATCGCCAAGTTCCAACACGCTCTGCGCCGCCCTGGACCCCTGCGAGACTGGTAAACCCGCGCAGACGGCTTTGCGTGCGCGTTAATGTCCGTTCCCAGGACCGAGAGCTGTCGAAGTGGGAGACGGCGCGGTTGGGGTAACAGCTCGCGTGGCGCTCGATTTCCCATATGTATTTGCTGCCATTCGCGCTGAGTAGGACAGTGAAAACGAGCGGCATTGTCGCGGACCGACCCAGAGGAGTTGAGTGGCAGTAAACGCGGGCGGTCGACAATGATTTCCAAGCGCCGGTCACCGAGAAATTGTGCGGACATGCCCTGTAAATGATGACGTCGGCGATGGTAGAGGAAAAGGCGTGGTTTGAGGCCGTTTGGATAGTTGGTGTTGAGCTGACGGCGCGATTTTGTCATTTTGAGCGGGAAGTTTCGAATTTAATTTTGCCTGGGTTAGCGGCGGGAACTCCAGCGGAAGTTGAGTTTTAGGGCTCGGAAGAGGTCGCCAGGAGGGCTAGGAAGTTTCTGTGGAGCGCGCGAGTATATGGATGAGCCCTGGTGACTCTGAGTCACGCAGACTGACAGGAAGAGAGAAGCGCAGACGGTGTTGCCAAACAAGGCCTAACTCTAGCACCGCTTTCGTGTTTCTTTCCCGACTTCCATGTCACTCGCTCAAGGTTCTCACCTGCGAGTTGCAACGTCGTTGCGACGGCTGGGCTCATCTAAATCTCGAAAATCGCGACTCTTGGGAGTTCCAGGCCTGTAATTGAAGACAAGAGGAGCGAAAAATTCCGTGCGACGGGAACTGGCACTTAGTCTGAGCACTGGGACTCCCTCGGCTCAGACTATTCGTTTGTAGCAATCAAAGCAGGCTGCTTTCCCTGGGCTTCAACTCGCTTCAATCGAGCACTATCGCTTTCCAAGTTTAATCGCTGCTGTGACCGCGTCACTCTTGCTCTCAGTACACTCGCGTCTCGAGCTCTGCAGCGAATATCCCGCGGCAAGGCTCTGGCAAACTCATCTCAAGGCTAGTTCCTCGGCTGCGATTACGAGCGCGACTTGCTTGCTTACAATAGGCCAACTGGCGAATTCCTCTCTGCACTGGTTATACAACAAACGCAGTCCAAGTTGCACAATTATGGCATGTCGCGTGCTCACCTATCTGCCCTCGGCACACCCCCAAGCACCTCTGACGTGGTATAGCGCAACACGGCCTCGAGTGTCAGATGAAAAGAATACATAGGAGGCAAACTCGGGTTCGACTCCCGGCGTCCGGATCTGCAGAAACCCGGCGAACTTTTTTGGTTGGGCTCGTCCTCTCTCGCTTTATCCAGCAAGTGGTACATTTTTGGCTTCTCCGCGCCGAGGCTCATCCAGCCGAAGGTTTCCTCTGACTTCGAGGAGGAAAAAAAGAAAATAACAACAACAACGCCCGGGGACATGCTCCTTTTGTTCACTGTCACCTCAAGGCTCGTTCCTCCACTACGATTTCGAATGCTACTTGTTTACTTACAACGGCCAACAGCATATTTATCTCGAACGCAGTCCGAGTCACACAACGATGGCATGGCGCATACCCACGTATCCGCCCTCTACAAACAATCAAGCACATCAGACGTGGTGTAACGCAACGCGGCCTCCGAGTATAGGAAGTCCGGTATCAAGGTACATCGGGGGCAATCCCCGGTTCGATTCCCGGCGTCCGGATTGAAAACTCCCCACAACCGTTTTCTTTTCGTTCAGTTGATGTAAGTTCGGTTCATAGCCGCCACCTCTTCGTTCTGTAATTAATTAGCCTTCTCAAGTTCGTTCGTGCAAGTGCACCACTGTCACTGTGGCACCCTAACCTAATTTAATTGCGAGAAAATCCAGACGCGCATTGTGAGTCTTCCCCTCCATTCCGCTATTCCCATCTCGTTTATCGACACTTCGAAGCACAGAGGTACCTCGGACGTGGTGTAACGCGATGCGGCCTCTAATACCGCCGCACGTCGTCTATGTTACAGGCAACCCAGGTTCGAATCCCGGCGTCCGAATTCGGGGAAAATTTAGGAAAATTTTTGCGAGGCTCATCTTCTTTCTGCTTCATCCAACTGTAAGGAGTTTATCTTCGTCTTTTCCGCGCGGCTCATTCATCCCTCACTCCGAGGAAAAGAAGAAAGCAATACTAACACCGGATACATGTGGGCGAGAGTCTTTCTTCTTTCTCGTCAGGTGCGTGTATTTGCATTGACGCTTTGAACCGCATAGATATAGATACCTCGGACGTGGTGTAGCGCAACACGGCCTCTAATGCTAGCATGTGGAGCTACAGTTTAGAACTTAGAAGCAACCCTGGGTTCGATTCCTGGCGTTCGAATGCAGCCCGAGAAATTGTGTTTTTCTGCCTGGGTCCCTACACAGCACTTTCGTTTTACTTCCTAATCACTTCTTTCCAACCTGTGCTAGATTTTCTACCGCATGGCTTCAAACTCACTTTTTTCTTCTGAGGTTTGTTTTCATCTGGTCTCTTTTGCTCCGTCGGATTGACCACCCCACACACATAGAAACTTCGGACGTGGTCTAATGCAACACACCCCTAGGAACTGTGCACAGGCACTCCCGGGTTCGAGTCCCGGCGTCCGCACTTGCTCGTGACTGAATAAGTTTTTTTCTTCGCCGGCCTTCAGCGCTTTCCGAGTCGTCTTACTTTGTGATGCCTCGTGTTCCATCCTCTACTGAACAGCAATTTCAATGTCTTCGGTTTGGTTGAGATATTGTATACGATGGAAACAGACATCCAGTAGGGGGCAGTCCTGGGTTCGGTTCCCAGCATCCGAATGCACAGAACACTTCGGGCTTTTTTTGTTCGGGTTCCGCTTCACCCAATCCTCCTCCCGCTGAATAATAGACTGTCATCTTCCCCGCACCGACGCTCATTCTCCACACGCGCCATGGAGAAAAAATTCAAGGTCCGGCGCACGCCGCCTCAATCGCGAGTCTTCCCTCCTTATTTCCGCACGTTTCCCCGTGTACAAGTGCATTGATCCGTTAAAATCACACAGATATGTACCTCGAACGTGGTGTAGCGCAACACGGTAGCATTGGCAACAGTTTAGAAGCAGCCTCGGGTTCGGTTCGAATACAATTGGAGACATTGTGCCTTTTTCTTCCTGAGTCCTTACACAGCTTTCGTCTAACTTTCGTCTTCACTCCAGTCGTTTATTGACCCTTGGAACAATACAGATACATCGGGCGTGGTGTAGGGCAACATCTCTAGTGCTGGCACACGAGGAGTAACTATCTCAAGGCAACCCCGGGTTCGATTCCCGGCGTCCGAATTGCAACACTCCGCACCAACTTTTTTTTTCATTCAATTGGTGCAGGTAGGCTCAGATGAGAACCGCCACCTCCTCGTTTTGTAATTAATTGGCCTTCTCAAGCTCGTTCTTCGTGCCAGTGGACTACTGTCACTGTGGCACCCAAACCTCATTCAATTGCGAGAAAAATCCAGACACGGCGTGTGAGTCCCCTCCATTCCCATCCCCATCGCGTTCATCCACACTCTGAACCATAGACGTACCTCGGACGTGGTGTAACGCATGCGGCCTCTAACGCTACGGCACGTCGTCCATGTTACAAAAGAGGCAACTCCCGGCGTCCGAATTCACTGCGTTCCGGGGCCTCCTAAACTCAGCCTGAGCATAGGGGCCTACACCGAGCTACCCTTGGTGCCACCTACACACAGCCTACATAGCTGAATGTAGGTCTGTCTGGGCCTGCCTAGGTCTGTCTAGATCTGCATAACTGGGTATAGCATAGCTAAGATAAGTGCAGGTCATTGTAGGCGCCTACATCGATGCCAGCATAGCCGCACCCAACTTGGGTAATGAACCAGTTTTAAAACCAAAATTGAAAACGGGTACAAACTAGACTGACATAAAGTGAGTGTAGGCATTTGAAATGACCTATGATTACCCAGGCTAGGCCGCCTGAGCAGACCCATACGGAGCTACATCCGGCTCAACTCAATTCTGTCCAGCTGAGCATAGGTACCTAAACTGACTTGTTGTAGCCCCTTACACTGACCCATACTGAGCTACATCCGGCTGAACTGAGTCAGCGTAGGAAGGCCCGGAATGCAGTGATTCGGAGGTCGCTATCTCAGCAATCTTTTTCTTTCCGCTTCATCCAACTTCCTCCCGTGAAGCATGTAAGGAGTTCATCTTCGTCTTCTCCGCGCGGCTCATTCACCCCTCACTCCGAGGGAAAGGAAGAAAGGAATACAAACACCGGACACGTGTGGGCGAGAGTCTTTCTTCTTTCTCCGCAGGTGCGCGCATTTCCATCGTGGGCATCGACACTGAACCAACCACACAGATACAGATACCTTGGACGTGGTGTAGCGCGAGGTGGGGTGATACAGCTGTATCTCACACCCTGCCTCAGGATCTCCGTGGTGTGGTGTTCTGTCAAGTGCAACGAGGCGGTCCCCGACCTTTCCTAGCGCGCGGCGGTATAAATCTCAAACGGTGTGCGGCGCCAGTGACCCCTGAGGTCCGCATGTATAAAGCGCGCGATTTCCTTCAGTTGCTCACGAGAGACGTCTTGAATCGCATCTAGCTGCTTTTCGACCTCTGCGATATATCGTTGCAGAATGGTGGACGCGAGAAGCGCGCGGCCACATCCAGGACTACACCCGCAAATCCCAAGGCGCTTGTGGCGACCTTGAGACGAGTGGAATTATTCTGATAGGATAGGGCGACGATCTGTCCTTGTAATGCCGCAAGGAAGGTCGCCTTTGTGGGCTTCTGGTCAGATGAATCTTTTTTCATTCATTGTGACTCACAATTGTTGCTCCGGCGGTTAGGATCGCGAATTGACTCTTGGTAGTGTCCCAAGACGCATTTCGCGTGAGCCAACGCGAACGACGGCAAGTAATGTACCCATGGTGAGTGGGGAGGCAGAGAGAAGCGGGCCTAATCAATTCTCTTTCTATTCGCAAAAATTGCATTCATTCACGTCGAAGTTTGACTTGACCTTATATTGGGCGCCCGCGCTCAGCGGCGCGCTGATCATTGATAGCCTCATCGCGCTCGAATGCAAGGGTGTGTGAATAACCAAGGTAAAATCTATACCGACGGCATGCGGGGGAATTAGGTGGTGGGAATATTTTCTCCCCTTGAAATGGATTGTGAAATGGCACGGGATTGAACTTTGTGGTGGCTTGTTTGCCGCAATCTGTTCGGGTTTTTGCGCGCCTTTTCGTTGAACGCGCGGGTCTCGTGACCGTTGATCTTCGAAATAAAGGTTCAATGTTCAAACGCTCAGCGTTCAAAAGGTTCAAGCTCAAGGGACAGGGAGAAATGCAGATAAAGCTCCTTGGCTTCAACGGCCAATTCATAAATTTTTCTCAAGGACAGTTTGGTGAGATGCCTGGCGGGACCGACGTCACGGTCACGGCGAGTGACTCAGTCAGCTTGCTCAGCAACCATGGCCACGACCAGCGAATCCGTTGTGTCCGCCGTGTCTCCCTCTCAAGAACGGCTTATACGGGACACCCTTCGCTCCCACTACAAACTCCCCGCAGGCCAGATTGCGTCTCTGCTTTCCTCGTTGTCGGATCAGCTTTCAAAATGCGATGAGGAAGTCGCGAAATCTGTCACCTGCTCTGGTATTCTCGAGCGAAACCGGTCTCAACGGGAATTCGGCTCGAGTTGGATCGAGCTGCTGGAGCTAGATCGAGCTCCGCTATATTGCAAAATGTACTACTACAATTTAATGATATTTAATGGTATTATCGTCGCTCGAGCGACTCGATCCAAGGGTGCTCGAGCACAGTCTCCGCTCGATCCAACTCCCCGCTCGAGCATATTCACCGCTCGAGCAAACTCCCTGCTCGAGCAAAGTAGCTGCTCGAGGCAAATACTGTACAGCGCTTGAGCTTGAGTCGAATCCGGCGCTTGAGCCAAGTCCTGGCTGGAATCAATTCTTGCTGCCGGACGAGTCGTTTTGATGCAAAGGTCAGCAGATGTGATTCATGTCAAGCACATTTAGACGACCTACCAGTGTAATATTCACTCCCCACCCTTCACCAAATGGACAAGGTCCCTCCAGACCTTCCCTCGTCAGAATGCAATGACACGGAAGGCACTCGACAGGAAACTGACCTGAAACCACCCGATTCATGATCCGTAAACTGGCTATGATCCCAGGCTAGTTGTCTAAAGAATCACGGCAGTGCTGCTGTATACAGAACGAGGGCCGACTCACCATCTGCCCAGGTGGCATTAGTGGCATTTAGCCTCATTCCGTGGCAATTCGCAAATGTTCTACGCGTGTGGAAGACGTCGGTCCAGGGTGCAGGCGGTGTAGGGGGATGGGTTGGGCAATGTCGACGAAAAGTCAGACCGCCGACAATAAGTCAGGCTCCATTCGTCGAGTGGTAGTGGTGGATAAAAGGCAAGCGAGCTGTGTAACGCGTGACATTATCACGAAGGCGACTGATGCCGCTGATGCGGCAGAAGCCGGCCCGTGCCGGCGGTGATGTCCACCATCCTTGCACTTCTTGGCTTGCTTTATCAACTGGAACTACTGAAGAAGATTCTTACCGGAATTCAGGCTTGAAAAGAGCCTCTAACATTCCATTGATATTGTGAACAGTGAATGTTTCAATTTAAAGCAAAGCAAGAAAAATGGACCAGCCCTCATGGAACGAAACCCTCCGCACTTCCCTCTCTTCCTACCTTCCCTGCATCCCTGCCTTTCCCCCTCCCCTTCACACGAGCAAGACGGCTACCACACCCGAGGAGCTTGGTGAGTTCGCACAAGGAGAGGACAAGTTTAGGGCTTCGACCCATTGCCGTCGCTGACGGGGACGGGTCCCGTCACGACGGTGAAACGGCGTGTCATTGAATACGCTGCCATCTGGCTATTATTTGCGCTTTTTAGCAATAGTCTGTCTAGACGCTACTAAGTAATAATACAGCCGTCTAGACGGGTCAATATACCTACTAGAACTCTGTTCGGTGGTACAAAGGAGAGTCAGAGTGAGCTCCGGCTGCTGACTGTAGTATTAGTACAGTGCTAGGCGCGGTTACAAGCGTTACACTGTGCGAAGTACACATACCAAGGAGGTCTATACGGGGTCTAGTACCTCAGAATGTCAATTACCCTATCAAAGGAACCAACGACTGCACAGGAAAGCCATAGTCTTCACTAGCAGGGCAAGCTACATGATATAGGGTCTGTCTAGACGAGTCGACGCACTAAGTAACAGGCGTCTAGACGAGCATAGCACGACTCTATAGGCTGTCTAGACGGCAAAGCACCGCGTCTAGACGGTGCAAGGAGCTTAGAGACATAAGGAGGGGTCGCCCCAAAGTGCCCCTCTAGCCAGTCAGGTGACCAACGCGACGCGGTCAGCGTTGGGGCGCCACAAGCACAAACATGACGAAGGAATTCTTGTTGAGATGTAGCCATGGGCCGACGTGTATATGTCTAGTCCGTGCGCTATCGGGGTATCCGAGCGGATTGGTGAGCAGTCCGGCGTCGGGGGACAGAGTTTTGCAAATTACAAGGTTCGGGAGCTGTCTAGACGACCCGAACTGGCCATATACCCGAACTGGGCCCCCAAGATCGTCATCTATATGACTTTCTGGCAAGCCCAGAGCCAGCATAGACCCGGTTAGCCTTCCGAGGATGACCGCATGACCAGAACATCGGCCTGTTTTACTCATTTCTCTTTACCTCATCTCTTTCTCTCAGAATCGTATATAAAGCCTCATAAAATACCGCAACAGACCAGTGTATGCCCCGCTCATCGTTACGACGATTCGGGTGTGCTCAGGCCACTTAGCGGAGATTAAAGTACCATCTCTCTCTGTGTAACAGTAGTCTATAAAATCGCAGCGTTGCTTGTTGGATCCAGAACATTTGTGTGAACCTATAAGCAAAGCTTCGCGTTGGGAGGTCGTGAGCGGCGACTGCCTCCACGTATAAATCAGGACCGCACGCACATTAGAAGGCTTGAGAACTGCACTAAGCGTCGCGAAGTGGACTCTAGCAGGGCATCCGCATTGGGTGACCAGGAAACGCCTCGCTAAAACCGACCACGCCCGGCACAGCACTTTGGGAGAACCCTGGGACAACCACCGGTCGTTTAGCTGTGTTGGATAGTACTTTGAGGTCCTTAATAAACTCAAGTGTACGGAAAAGATCTTGGATTCAAAGGAGTCCGAGTCTGCCGCTAGTTCTCGAGAGGCTAGCTGTGCACCAGAGGCCGTCTAGACGAAGCAGCATAGCCCTTGAACGGGATTTTCAGTCCAAATCTACACCTCCT